ATAAATAACACAGTCACGTTTTGGTAATGCCAAATTTATTGAAACAATATTTTTAAAAGTACCACATCGCCTCATGTGGTCTTTGTTGAAGATTAATACCGAAAATCCTACTCATAATTTGTGTTTATCTATTTAACAACAATGCAATGTATTCCAAGGTATTTTGATTTATTATCTACCTGATCAACCGACTTTACGTTTTTATAAATGCTTAAGTTTAAATTCTCTGCAGGTCTTTGTCATCCAAGCTCTCTAATCTAGGAAGAGAAATTTAGCCAGGACAAAGGGAACAAAAAAAATTCTTTCATCCAAGGTTTCTTGCTTCATTATTAATCACATGATTAAGGATTTTTCAACAAATTATGATGTTTTTTGACAAGAAATTCCAATGTTCTGCAGACATCAAAAGCGTAATGGAAAACAATAACCCTAGCATAATTAGACACTGTCTGATGCATCTGGGAAATTGTTTCCAAACACTGATGACAACTTCAATGGCCTTTTCCAATCTAAGCTGGATTCACAGAGCTCTCTGAGTGTTTATGGCTGAACCAGTTTAGAAAAGGTGATGGTCAACAAATTTGTTAGGAAAAGTAAATATATTTCAAGACTCATGCTTTAAAGAACATGCAATAATGCAAGACTCGAACAATTCATGCTATATTACAGCAAATGAAACTTCAAAGAATGACCTAGTTTACATACCATATTGTATTATTCTATACCTTTAAATTTCCAATTCTTTCTCAAAAATATCACAGAATATGCATGGTCAAAGTTTAGATCAACTTTTAAAGAACCCAGCTAATTTTTTTTTCTGCGTAGGTATACCTAACATTGTAAACACAAGTTATTGCGTAAATTACATGTTTCTGAGCCTCAAAGCATCTCCCTTACTGGAAAATTCTTTTCTACGCCTTTTAGTACCAATCAGATTGTGAGAAAGCAACAGAATGTTTAGCAGGTAACCGGAAAACATACATTATTGACAGTATGGCTATAGCGTTTACCCACAAAAAAAAAAGAAAAGAATTGGAAAATGATGACAATTAAGATATACCATTAAAATGATTGCCATAACACCCTGATCTTCTGTCCTAACCTATTACCAGGCCAGGACAGCTGTATAGTGTTGGCCTTTGACATTAAATCACCCATAACAAGAGATAAAGCAAGAAAGCACCAAGGTGTAATAATAGGGATCTTAATCTTTAACATCAATACCTTCCTGACACACAGAGTCAAAGAAGAACAGATTAAATGTCTTTCTCGGCATAAAATTTATCAAATTTACAATACACTGACAAAAAAATTATCATTACCTGGTTCCTTTGGCAACAAACAACTTCCTGAATTTAAATAAAATTTCACAATCATCTCATCTATAACATTTAAGGCAAAAATTTAAAAATAATTCTTTAATAGCTTACTGTTCCAGTAAGTGGTTTGGACTGTATTTTCCCATCTTATAACTTGGCTCCATGATTGCACTGCCCAGCGTCACCAGTGATCAACACCGGTTACAGAATCACACACACACAATGAAATAAATCTTGGACACAGAAAACAGATTTCACAGAATCTCCCTGTATATCAGGAAGTGCTAGAGAGATGTTTACAGACACTGGCGGCCATCTTGTTTTTGTGACGCTCTTTCGTTATCAACAGGCTTTTACAAGCCTCCTATATGACAGGAATCGTCAGACCTTTAAATCGTCGACGTGGAGGAGAGATCGGGCTTGTTCCTTGATATTGACACAGCGGCTATATAACAGGGTGTAAACACCTGACCTGGTAATAATCATTTCAATTAGAAGAGCTGTGGATAAAGGGAAAAATCTATTGATCCACCTGTCCAATCTTTTAATCATTGATACAGACAACTGCTGTATTAAGGCACATTGGTTGGAAAAGTCAATTCCACTTAGAGCCCTGCATTAATATTAAAGAAGCTTGTAATGTACCCAGACAATATTATGCAATTACACCTACTCTTTGCCAGAAATTACATTTTGCAATATATATATCTATAGTTCCAAAGTTCTTTGTAATCACAGTTGGAACAATAGATGTTGAAACCCACATGCTATATTTGATGTGTACCCTAGTACATTTAAAATCCATATTACCTTGATGAACAAAAACATCCCCTCCCTTGTGGCATGTCATTTAATGGCCTGGAATAAATATTGCACTGAACTGTATCATATACATGTGTTTAACAGTTTTCAAATTGTATATCTTAATGAATCACACCTATTTGGTAGAGGGTTTTGGTGAAGGAATCCCATGAGTATATTACTGTTGTGTGAGATACAATGATGTCTAGCAATCAATTAATTGCAATAATGGAAAACTGTGAACAGTCAACAAAACACCTCGTACGTACCAGCTAGCTTAATATTAATATAAGGTATGGCTACCTTAAATCTTCCCACTGGAAATTCAGTTGTAATCACGAATCCATTTTGGAGTTCAATTAAGGTTGAAAGGATTTACTCAGTAGTGCTCAGAAAATTGCTATTGAAATACAAGATGCAATGAAAAATGAGGTTCAAGAAACTTGCAAATTCATAATTTACTTTTATGGCAAGAAGTCTTGGATTCCATTAATGAATCATTTGATGTGCAATTACATGCTTTTATTAGTGTGATATCTTCCCAAAATACATTTTTGTGAAACAATGCAGTGACGAATTCATTTTTGACCTTGACCTCAGAGTACATGTATGTACTGACCTTGACCTGACCTATAAACAAACATGATTGAGTCTATAAACAGTTCTACAGATATTATGACAAAAGGAAAGAGCTAGATTATCAAACAGAATATCCATACTAACTCCATTAAAAATCAAGATATTGGACAAACAACAAACATGACATTATTTCTAAACTTTATGAATTTTAGAAAATGAAGTAAAACCATGTTCTTTGCTTTTCCTTGATCAGTTTACAATCAATAAAACCAACTATAATATTACATCCTTTATCAAACAAAGTTGAATTTTGGATTAAAAAAAAAAAAAAAAAGGACAACCCAGGATCCCCATGCATGCAGGTACCTGACAAATCTGATCAATAAAGATTTCTAGCAATTAACTCATGGTAATCACATTAATTCAGTACTCCACATGTGACCATTAGTAAGAGAATTAAATCAGAGCTGTCTGCGACTTTTCCTGTGCAAAGACTTCTCTCTATGAGCAATCAATAAAGATTTCCTAAGACTTTGTTGAACTGTCTTTCAGATTAATGAAGACATGATGATGAATTCAGAAGGGATCACCACTCAGTCTTTTCTTATTTACAGGAAAATAGTGACTTTTTAACCAAGTTCCAAAGTGTAATGTCTCATTTATTTATATATTCTTAATTTATTATAATATGTTTTTTAATTAAATCTTGTTTCCAAACTTCTGAAAAAACTAAGAACCTGCCACGTTTAGATCAACGCATTAAATTGTTATAATTTTTTTTCTATAATTCATAGAAACTGAAGTCAATTTACTGAGAAAAAAAAAGTTCTCAAATATGAAGTATAATTTACCTGAAAATATTGCAATATTCATTCAAATACCTGGTTAATTTTAATGCCAAACGTACATGCTTGAGAGAGTTTCACAAAGTGTTCAAATCATTGTAGAATTTAATCACAAAACATTTAGAAGTTCAATTAAATTTGTGAAAAGGATTGTGTTGTGCAATTAATTCTAATTTTATGCATCGATCTGCAACACAATCTACTTTTTCCATGAAAACTTGAGTTTAAATCCTGAAAATTGAAACATTTCTAAAGAGTATCTGCATAGTGTCATTTCTTGACCGTACATGTATATGTTAAAATTTCAAATCAATGTATTCATAAACCATGTAAACTAGAACAGCTGTATTTGAAATGATTTAAATAACTGTGGTTTCGTCTTAAATTAAAGTTCAGTCACAAATAATCACTTCATATAACTGTTACAGTAAAGATCTTTATTTTAGCTTTAACACATATATATGAGTCATTTCAAAATGCAAGCACAGGTAATTGCCATAAAATCCAAACACTAAACAAATTGAGCATGTTTTCACAACTGCGAGTCAGGTACTAACTTGTGCATGTTCATGTTATGTGATGCACATCCAGAATAGTAAAGTGAACAACTAAAAAGGACAACTAGTACATCTACACTGTTTTTAAAGTACTTATATAATTTTGAACTTTTAAAATTTTACTAATCTATCTGATCCATCGATATGATTAGTTTCACCCTTTTTAATTTGTAACAATGGATTTGGATCAATGATCACAAGATTTTAATATTAAGTCTGTATCCTATTTAAGTACATGTAAACTTAGTTGGTTCACAACTTAGACAAAAAGTTTATTACTTAACTTGTTCGTGTTTGCTAATATGTGTCTTTTAATCATGGTTTAATGGTGTTAATGATGAATACTTGAAATGTTTGAAAACTTAAGTACTTCAAAGAGCATTTAAAAATCAATAAATGTACAAGAAATTTTATGTACATATAGAAAATACATGCAAAATTCATTCAGGGTAAAAATTTGATTTCAAGAACTTAATTTCCATTAGCAAATTTAAAGTAATTCTGAAATACATGTATACCTTACATGTAGCTAATTCATTATCAGACAAGTAACATTATATTCAATGAATTAACGTTAAACACCACAGTTTGACTATAAACATACAGAAATTACACAATGCATTCTAGTTGCCAGTTATCAATGTACATTCAAGGTTGCAAACTTCAGTACAGTGCAGCATTAGTGACATTGAGGGGATTTTGCTTTTTTTTAAAACTATCAAAAAATATTACAAGCTTTTCAATCAAAATTTCATGAACACTATTCACATGATCAAGTGAGAACATGAACTGCTAGAAAGAGTGTGCAAGAACACAGCAAACAGTTCACACATCAAGAAGTTCACACGACTGACAACAAGGTGCAACAACATTACGAAAATCTATTCATAAGTACTCAC